TCTGGAGGAATAATGAAACATTAATCAAATAATAATTAAAAATATAAGATGTGGGGCCTCTCCGGTGGTGCTGCAGGTTGAGTACAGTGCTGTGAAGATGTCCGTAGCCTCTACAGTGCCGGTTAGATTCCCAGCCTGCCAGGGAGATTCCCACATGGTGAGGCAGACCTCTCCTGTCTTGCTCAGTGCTCCCCTCAGCAGTGTATTTCGGTCCTTCTGCCTCTTCTGCTCCCTGCTCTGTCTCTGGGATTCTCTCACCCTCCCATGCCTCTGGCCTGTACCCGTTCTTATATAAACAAATAAATCTTAAATATATATGTATATATAAAGATGTGACTAATGTAATAGAAATAACCAATAAATTTAAAAGCATCAATAATAGTATCAAAAAGTCTGAAGTTGGAAAATCATTGGTAATTAATCTACTAAAAATTGTAAAACTGACTAACAATCATGTATTGTACAGATTAAAAACAAAGGGGAAAACATTCATGCTCACTAGGGTAGGAAAATTTTAACATCATGCCAATATTCTCAGTGAGAATGAGGATGTAAATCAATGAGAATTAATTTGTGTCATTGGAACAGCTAACTTGAAGAACAATTTGGTAATATCTATTAAAGAAGGTTGGTGTGTATCATAAGACAACTCCTTCATTCCAAATGTGCCAGAGGAAGTCTGCCAAAGCAAAATGAAAAGATGTGTACAAAATGTGTATGTAACTCCTGTTTATACTAGCAAAATGAAAAATATGTAGTGAAATGTTACCATTGAGGATATGTACAACTGTGATAAGGAGATTTGTGTGTATAGTGAAAACTAAATACAAGATACAATTCTCTCTGGGAAGTGGGTACCAAAGGTTAAGGAAGTGATAAGGCACCGGTACTCATAGAAAGTGCCAAGTCTATTGTTACTTTATTTCTTCAACATAGATTTTGGTACATAGATATTTGTATTATTAGTAGGTGTGTGTAGTTTTTCATTCTGCAATACATTTTAATGAAAAGGATAGAATGCAGTTTCTTGAAAGGAAATACATAAAGAGTGTAAAACATAGCCTATGAATATTTAGGAGCTATTAAATATAACAAGAGGAAAAGAAATGAAACATCCAAGATACCACATAAGAATTTTCCATGATTGCTACAATTGCCACAGATAGAGTATAACAGCATGGTATGTGTTATAGCTAAATCTGAAATTAAAAAAAAAAAGATCTTTCACTCCTCTCCCCTTATTTTTTTTAAAGATTTATTTATTTATACAAGAATTGGGGTACAGGCCAGAGGAGCAGGAGAATGAGAAAATTCACCAGAGACAGAGCAGGGAGCAAAACAGACAGACAGACTGAAGACACTGCTGAGGGGAGCAATGGGTCACACAGGAGAGGTCTACCACGCCATGTGGGAATCTCCCTGGCCAGCCGGAAATCAAACCAGCGCTGCAGAGGCTGCAGACAGCTTCACAGCGCTGAGCTCAACCCCCTGTACCACTGGGGAGGCCCACCTCCCCCCTTATTTTAATCTGTTAGAGAGAGGGGAAAAAAGGACGGCTTACACTATCATTAAATGAAGCTGCTAATCACATATAACCTACACATGACCCCTCTAACTCTTTGGAAAATGAAGAAAGGATTATGATTGTTGAAGATAGCTCAAAATAAAACATTTGAAACAGGTGCTAGATCATAGACTGGGTAGGCTTTTGTTAATGGATGTCAAGGTTGTATTAGTTAAGGTAGACTAGTCTAGACTATATTAACAGATATCCCCAAAATGTGATGCTTGTTCGTGTCCCTGCCCATTGTGGTTCAGCCAGGGAATTCTTAATATAATAATAATCTACAGGCTTATGGTGACCATGCATGATTATGGTGTTCCTTGTTGCAAGTAACTGAAAAGAGTTCATGTTGAATTGTAATGTCACTCTTCAATAATTTAAATGTTTAAGATTACAATGTTTATTGTTGTGCCCAACGTCGACCAGTGCAGCCCCCAAGGACACAGACAGCCGATGCAAGAACATAAAGTAGTTTATTACGGGCTCGAGTCCAGGCCCTCGACACACACTGATGCAATGGTAGAGGTCTAGAGCCCCGAAGAGAGGAAGCAGGGGTTTATTATTGGGTCACAAGCGGCGTGAATTTTGAAAGAAGCTGGCAATTACTCATTGGCTACTACAAAGGCATTTTGGCGTGCACAGTTATAGTTTCAAACTGATTGGACGGTTAGAGATGCTGTCCCATTTATGGACAGGACTGCCCTCATTGGCAGCAGGGGTGGTCTGCTTTTTCGTCACCAAGTGGAGTGAGGGTTGTGACTGTTGAAACTATCTCCGGAATGCGGCTGGACAAGGACTAACATATCAAGGTGGACGATATACAAAATGGTGAAACCTCGGCTAAGCTTGGTTCCACATTCCCCCATTTTTATTTATTTATTTATTTTTTGAAAAACGGCTAGTCATCTAAGAAAACAACAGCTACCAAGCCTTTTATTATTAGTCAGTCTCAGAATTATGGTTCAGTTCAGCCATATAATGTGTTCACAGGTTTATAGGTCCAGCAAAATTGAAAAATTGCCATTATACAAAATTGAAATTGAAAAATTACCCTTATACAAAACATTGACTTTTTCTGGGTCATCTCAGACCACGACCTCTGAAAATCAGAAGCTAAACCATCTATCTAGTCAGCAAGAGGTATTATCTTCAGTTACAAATGAGAATTACTCTGCTCAAACAAGGGATCTCTCTCCAGTTAGCCAGTCACAGAGTTATTCATCTGGTCACTAAACATCAGCTATTGAATAAAACAGACTGCCATCCACCAGTCTTAATACTAACCCCTTCTTATTTCTTCCTTGCATAAATCAGTCTGCTGCTCCAATTAAAACACTCTCTGTTGTCACTTGAAGGAAACCAAGTCCAACGTTAACACATTCCTTTAGTTGTTTTTATCTCTGAAGCCTTCCTAAACTCTTTAGAGGTCCTCTTTTGCACTGCCCCTAAAACTTGCTTAATTACCCTAACTTGCCCTATGTTTTATTCCTCCCCTTCTGCGAATGGAGCCCCTAACTGCAGTCAGGGAAAGGGGCGACGTTCTGATCAGTAACTGCTTCCTGCTGAAAGTGGGCGATGAGGGGAAACAGTCAGGGCTCCACTCCTATGTATTGGGAGGGGTCTTGTTTTAGGGGTTGTAGGGGGGAGTCATATTGGCGTAAGGGGGCGTATTGGGAGTGCAGGACCATTAACTGGACCGTGTTTACCCGTTGTTTTAATATAGGCCATGAGTCGATTAATGGTACAGGGCCCGATGGACAGAATTAAGAGAAGGGTAACAACTGGGCCCAGAAGAGGCAAGAGATAGGGCAGTCATCCTCCTAAGCCTTCCCAAAGAAATGTATTGTTGTCTTCTAGTTTTTTTCTCCGGTGTTCTAGTTCCTCTTGTAATTGTTTAATTTTATTTCTAACTATTCCTGACTTGTTAGCATAGAAGCAACATTCTTCCCGCAGGTAGAGACAGACGCCTCCTTCCTTTGCCGTGAGAAGATCCAGCCTGCGACGGTTTTGCAGGACCACCGCGGCCAAAGAGTCTAACTGAGACTGTAACTCTCAGGTCGTGTCTGCTAGCTGCCCAATGTCCCCCACCAGCTGAGCTGAAATTTTTTTGTAAAGGTTAACAGAGGTCCCAATTCCAGCAACTCTGGTACCTACTCCGGCTGCCACCCCCAGGCCAAGCAGTAGTGGGTCAATCACGGCCCGCTTATGTCCGGCAGGCACAGACTGGGTGAGCTGTATGGGAAGGCTCTGGTTGCCTGGGACCACTCCCACATCGGGCATGAGATATATTAAAATGCACAAGCCCGACCAATCAGCAGGGAGTACAGGGTAGGCTGTGGTGCCACAGAAGAAAACAGTGCCCAGCGCTGGCGGGCACATAGAGGCAGAGCCATTATAACTGGGCACCATAGCCGCACTGACTACTGAACTGCAGAGCACCTTATTTACTTGGCCCACTTTTAAGGTCCCATTGTGACCAAGGCATGGCATCTGAGCAACTTTTGGGGAGAGCTTGACATTATTGATGGGCAAGGTCAGGTTACACTTATGGGGTGGGCACTTTAGGTTCATCCAATTAGTCCAGTTGTACACAGCAGGGATCGCTGTGTAACGGGGGGGTCCTTCTCTTAGACATAACCAGCAATCGCTGGCCAGGGTTGGGTTGGTCTTGTTTAAAAATTGTAGGGCTGAGTCTAACATGGCCTGTACTGTCTTTCCCAATTTAAGGGAACCCACCGGGCCTGGGATGCGTATCGGCTTGAACTACAGATCCTGTGTTTGGGCAACTTGTTCAAAAACCCTCTGAACTTCCTGCTTTCGTGCGTGGTCTTGCACACCCCACCATCTGTCATTCCCCAATGGGTTTGCAGAGTCCAACAAAAGGATTTTCCTGCTTTGACAGGGCATACATATCCGGCATTATTTCCTAAGGATATGCCAGTCCAGAAAGTTCGATTGGACTCTGTGCACTGATAAACAGTAGACCTTTCATAGCACTGTGAATGAACAAAGGTATATCCCCCCTGCTTTACAGTGATTGCAACTTTCATTTTTAGGTGGCATGCGATTTAAACGCTTCCAACAGACCACCATCCCCACTATACCTGGACATCCATGGGTGGTGCCCTTAATCAGGGTCGCCGCAAACAGAGGAACTCCCTCAAGGCTGCATGCACGCTTGCTAACATAGCACTTGCTCTGAATATGACTGAATACGCCTTTGGTGGTGCACCGTCGGCAGGGATCCCAGTCAGCCCCGACAAGGAAAAAACAAAGGAAGGACAGTAGGTAGCCAACATTGCAATTTGTTGTCATTTTTCACGGCATGGGCAGTGGTCTGGGAGTGATGGGTCGCGGCCGGGAGCACCTGAAGAGTGGATTGGTGGGATGCTTCCGGGCTCGCCACTGCAGCTGGGAGTCCTCAGTTGGTGCCATCTCAACGTGCGTGCGAGTGATGAGCCCAGGCCGCGATGCCGTCCACTTTGAGTGCGGTGGGTGTGGTCAGGAGGACGATGTATGAACCCTTCCACAGGGGCTGGAGGCCACGACCGTCGGTCTTGTGTCGGCGGACAAGGACCAGATCTGCAGGCTGAAATCTGCGGGCTGTCTGAGAAGGTCCTCCCCCTTCATAGAGCGCTCTGAGGCGGGGCCAGACCTCCTGGCGAGCCTGCTGTACAGCCCATACAGGAAGAAAAAGTTCACAATCAGAAGGCAAGTCACAAGTTAACCGCGCACCGTGTGGTGTGGTTGGGGGCGCGGTTCCATAGCTAATCTCGAAAGGAGACAGACCCAGATGATCAGGGGAATTGCGAGCCCGGAAGAGGGCACAGGGAAGGAGAGTCACCCAGTCCCCCCCAGACTCTAAAGTTAATTTAGTTAAAGTTTCCTTTAAAGTTCTCTTCATTCTCTCCACCTGCCCTGAACTCTGGGGCCGATAGGCACCATGGAGCTTCCACTCTGCTCCCAGGGCAGAAGCCACAGATTTTGATACCTGAGAGACAAAGGCTGGTCCCTTGTCTGACCCAATGGTCCCTGGAAACCCAAACCTAGGAAAAATGTTTTCCAACAGGATTTTGGCTACCACTCAAGCCGACTCATCTCTTGTGGGGAACGCCTCCGGCCATCCGGAAAACGTGTCCACCAGGACCAGCAGGTATTGATAGCCAAATTTACCTGGTCTTACCTTGGTGAAGTCTATTTCCCAATGGAACACCGGGCGCGTTCCTTGCGGCCTCATTCCTGGTTCACCGGTTGTCTTGGTGGCGTTTACCATGGCACACGACTGGCAGGACGCCACTACTCGTCGCACGGTACAGGTTGCGTCCCGGACATGGAGGTTCCATTGTCTAATTAGATTTGGAATTTTTTTTTCTCCCAAATGCGTGGCTCGGTGCAAGTGCTGAATGAGATCAGTGGCCAAGTGTGCTGGCAAGATGGCCTTAGTTTCTTGGGTGTACCACCAGTCTCCCAAAGGAAAAGCACCCGGGAGAGACTGTATGTAGTCAAAGTCCATAGTACTATACTCCGGGTCATTCGGCAGCTGCGGATCCCCTGGGTCTGGGAGTTTTACCGTCAGGGCATCTATCGGCATCAGGGCAGCTTGGCGTGCTGCTTCATCCGCACGCTTATTACCTTGAGTTGGAGTCGAGGAGTCCTTTTGATGACCTGGATGATGTGCTATAGCCAGCTTACGCGGTAGCCACAGCGCTGCCAGGAGATCCAGAATTTCCTGAGTGTTTTTAATGCCTTTGCCGTCGGCGGTTAAGAGCCCGCGCTCTTGATATATGGCCCCGTGTACGTGGGCCGTGGCAAATGTGTATCTGCCGTCAGTATACACAGTTAAATCTTTTCCTCGGGCCGAGGTGAGAGCTTTGGTTAGTGCAATTAGTTCAGCCTTTTGAGTGGACATCCTGGATGGCAAAGGCTCAGCCCATATGACTTTCTGCATGGACACCACTGCCGCCCCTGCCTCTCTTGGGCCCTCGTGGATAAAACTGCTCCCGTAGTAAACCAAACCAGTCCATCCAGCAGAGGGTTATCTCACAGATCAGGGCGTAGCCCTTGGACCTGGGCCAAGATTAAAACACAGTCTAGATGGGCCTCCAGGTCAGGGGCAGGCAGGAGGGAGGCGGGGTTTAGCCCCATGGGTGGCGAAAAATTGACCCTCTCTGGGTTGAGCAATAGGCTCTGGTAATGTGTGATTTGGGCATTACATATCCACCTCTCCGGCGGCTGCCTGAGGACTCCTTCCACCGCATGGGGGGTGGTTATGGAAGTAACTTGTCCCAGAGACAACTTTTGGGAGTCCTTGAAAAGGAGGGCAGCCACTGCCACCATGTGTAAGGATGGTGGCCAGCCGGACGCCACCAGGCCTAACTTTTTAGACAGATAAGCCACAGGACGCCTCCAGGGGCCCAAGGACTGAGTGAGCACCCCTTTAGCTATGCCCTTTGCCTCGTCTACGAACAAATGGAAAGGCTTTGTAATGTCCGGGAGACCCAGTGCAGACAGTAAAGCCCTCTTTAAGGACTCATAGGACTGCTGCATCTGGGGAGTCCACTGAAAAGTCACTTTTTCCCAGGTAGCCTCATCCAAGGTTTGGGCCAGTTCTGCGAATACAGGTATCTATAGCCGGCAAAATCCAGCAGATCCCAGGAACTCACGTACCTCCCTTTTGGTGGTAGGTGTCAGTAACTGTAAGACAGTAGCTTTTCTGGCTTCCATCAGCCACCTACAACCATTTTTGAGGCGGTAGCCCAGATAGATTACCTCGGGCAGGCAAATTTGTGCCTTTTTTGCGGAGACACGGTATCCCATCTGGCCCAGTTCCGCCAGTAATTCGACTGTTCCTGGTTGACAGGCATGCTCACTTTCCACTGCAAGTAACAGATCATCAACATACTGGAGCAAAGTTAGTTCACAAATCCTCATGAAGGGCCTCGTCAAAAAGGGTGGGAGAGTTTTTAAACCCTTGAGGCAACCTTGTCCAAGTTAATCGTCCACTGATGCCCCGTTCCACATCCTGCCATTCAAAGGCAAACATTCCCTGGCTTTGAGGTGCTAGTGGTAGACTAAAGAAGGCATCTTTTAAGTCCAATACTGTGTACCACACATGAGTAGGTGGCAAGGCACTCAGCAAGGTATAAGGGTTTGGGGCTGTGGGGTGGATATCTATGACCCGTTTATTTACTTCCCTGAGGTCCTGTACCGGCCTGAAGTCTTGTGAATGTGGTTTTCGCACCAGTATCAAAGGGGTGTTCCATGAAGAATGGCATGTTTTAAGGATACCACTGTCCAACAGTCTCGGAATATGAGGCGTTATTCCTGCCTTGGCTTCTGCAGGCATAGGATGGGTACTGTTTTACCCGAATGGGTTCAGCCCCGGGCTTTAGCTGGACTATAATGGGTGGTCTGTGGGATAGCAGGCCAACCCCCACGGTTTCTGCCCAAACATTGGAGAAAGATTTCATCCACCACCCTGAAAGGGGTGGGTGATGTGGCGCCACCAACAGGCGGTACTCATCTTGAAGGGAAATCGTGAGGCCGTGTAGGGGAGAGCCCTTAAAGTCCTTGATTTCGACACCTTCCTGTCCAAATGAGATTTGTGCTCCTACCTTGGTTAAAAGGTCTCTTCCAATGAATGGGTACGGGCATTCAGGGATTACAACAAAGGTGTGTGAAACCTGACCTTTTCCCAGGTCTACAGATCTTTTTGTGGTCCAGGGATGCTGTTTGCATCCCGTAGCCCCTTGCACCCACGATGTTCTGCCGGACAGTTTACCCAAGGGTTCCGTGAGGACTGAATGCTGTGCCCCCGTGTCCACAAGGAAATTAACGGGTCTCCCCTCCGCTTTTAAGGTTAGCTGGGACTCGGGGAGGGTCAAGCCCTGACGGTCCTAGTCACTGTCATTTCTTGTGCCCCTCGAAGCACCAGGACAGGAGTGTCAAAAACGGCGGGGTTGTTCGAGTTTATTCCGTTTCTTTGGGCAATGTTCGGCCCAGTGTCCTTTTTGAGTGCAGCATGCACATGGATCACGCTGAAGGGTCCTGCCTGTCCCTGAGGAGCTGGGGCGGCGGGAGGGGCGTAGCTTACCCGGGTCGTCCTTTTGAGTGACGGCGAACAGGATTCTGGCCAGATCCCGAGTATGGCGTGCGTTTTCAGCCGCCCTTACCTTCCGTTCTTCCTGGCGGATGCGGTCCTCTCTTTGCTCAGGAGTGTCATGGCGATTATACACCTTTTCTGCCACCTCAATAAGATCTCGAATAGATTTTTCTCCCAGCCTATCTATTCTTTGTAGTTTTTGTTTAATGTCAGGAGCCGCCTGGTTAACAAAGGCCATTACCACCGCGGCCCTGTTTTCCGCTGCCTCCAGATCCATAGGAGTATATTGCCGAAAAGTTTCCCTGAGGCGCTCTAGAAAAGCCGTGGGGGTCTCCTCCCTTCCCTGCTGCACATCCCCTACCTTGACCAAATTGGTGGGCTCACGGGCTGCCGCGCAACCCTGCCATTAGAGTCTGGCGGAACACCGGAGTCTCTCCTTACCTTCAGCCTGGTGAAAATCCCAATCAGGTCGGGTCAAGGGAAACACTAAGTCTATGTGGCCGCATTCGTGGTGGGTGTGCCGTCCTCTCCAGGGACTAACTTCCTGGCGGCCGTCAGTAAACGATCTTGCTCCTCAGTGGTGAAGAGGACCTGCAAGAGCTGTTGGCAATCATCCCAGGTGGGCTGATGAGTAAATAGAACAGTGTCTAGGAGATTAACAAGGTCTTTAGGGTTGTCAGAGAAACGTGCATTTTGCGCTCTCCAGTTGTAGAGGTCACTGGTCGCGAGCGGCCAGTAGTACATGGGCTGGTTGCCCTGCTCATCAGGCAATCCTGCCACGCGCAGGGGCAGGACGGTGGAATCCGGAGAATTTGCCTGCACTGAGCGAGTGCCTGTGGCCGGACCCTGGCCACGAGCCCCGCCCGCCTCTGGGGGAGGCTGGTCAGTGGACCACAGGGGCTGGGGAGGGTTACTACAAGGGTTATGAGAGGGTGGTGGAAAAAGAAGTTCCTCCGGGGTAGAGTCTTGGAAAACCGCAGGTGCCGCCAGGGAATTGGGGTGTGACCCAAGCAGTTTAGCCGGCAGTACGGGTTGTGCCTGTAACGACAAAAATGGCTTTAACCAAGCAGGGGGGCTCTGGACTAGATCTTGCCAGACTAAGATATACAGGAGTTGGTCAGGATGTCCGAATTTTCTTTCATGGGTGACGATTTCCTTCATGCGACGGACAATCTGTAAATCAAAAGTTCCCTCCGGGGGCCAACCAGCTCCGAACTTTGGCCACTCTGAGGAACAAAAGGTGATTAGAGGGGATTTTTTTCATCTCCACACTGAGATCCGACCCTCTGGACCTGACATCTTTAAAATGCTGTAAAACCACAGATAGAGGGGTAGATGGTGATTGACCCATGATGACAAATGCTAGAAGTACAGCGGCTGTTGACACAAGAAACAGACCAAAGACTAATTTTTCAAAAGGCCCCCAAAAGGGGTATCTGCTTCCCCACAAAGGGTGAGGCCTTCCTAACATGTGGTCCAGGGACGTCTCCTGCAGTCCACGCCAGCGGCTTCCAAGTGCGTCCACTTAAGCCTGACCCGGCTATTAAACAGATTTTCAGGTTTGCAAACAATTACAGCTTTTACAGGTACAAAGGACAAAAGATACAGGTACTAAGTACAAAACAGCTTTTACAGGTACAAAGGACAAAAGATACAGGTGCTAAGTACAACCACAGGTCTGCAGACTTGAAGCTTACCTGGGCGAGTGTTGGAACTCACCTGCACGCTTTAAAACTCCTTTCGGTTGCTCGGTAGTTGGGGTCTGCACTCGCCGATCCCGGACGAGCCCCCAAATGTTGTGCCCAACGTCGACCAGTGCAGCCCCCAAGGATGCAGACAGCTGCTGCAAGAACATAAAGGAGTTTATTACGGGCTCGAGTCCGGGCCCTCGACACGCACCGATGCAACGGCAGAGGTCGAGAGCCCCGAAGAGAGGAAGCAGGGGTTTATTATAGGGTCACAAGCGGCGTGAATTTTGAAAGAAGCTGGCAATTACTCATTGGCTACTACAAAGGCATTTTGGCACGCACAGTTATATTTTCAAACTGATTGGATGGTTAGAGACGCTGTCCCATTTATGGACAGGACTGCCCTCATTGGCGGCTGGGGTGGTCTGCTTTTTCGTCACCAAGTGGAGTGAGGGTTGTGACTGCTGAAACTATCTCGGGAATGCAGCTGTACAAGGACTATCATATCAAGGTGGAGGATATACAAAATGGCGAAACCTTGGCTAAGCTTGGTTCCACATTTATGGCCTGAAAAAACACTTTAACTTTTGTTAACAATTCATTTACAGAGCAAAACATATGCTACACCATCTAGTCAGGAAACAGAAGCCACTGTTTGGACAGAATGAATACTAGAGAATTTTAAAGTCAAAACAAAAAAAAAATGGAGCACTGATAGAAAGGTTGCAACTGCAGAAAACAGATTAGCATCACTAAGACAGGGTCAATAACGGAGGAAATTGGAACTTTAAAATTTGACTTTGGAAGAATGCCTACACTGAGATGATACTCAGGCTTTTGAGGTGAGGCATTTCCCTAGTAATACAAACACTAAGGAGCTTGAAGACATTTCTCCTTGTAGTCAGTACCCAGACCACAGAGAAGGGGAGGCTGTTGGGAAACAGACCTCTAGAGAGCAACATTAAAAGATGCTGGCACAATCAGAGCTCAGATAGATGGGCACCTACAGGGCTGGAACTCAGATCTCTGTAGATGGAAAATGTGCCAACTGGAACACACAGCTGCTACTGGATTAAAAAAAAAACTTTCATTAAAATAACATTGATAAGAAAAATAAGATAACTAGAGCAAATTTTTATTTTATTTCTAGCAACCCCCTTAATGACAAAATTTAAGAAGTAGCCAGTTTGCAAAGGAGAAATCTGATGTACTTGAACTCAGTCTGAGATGCAACAAGATAAAACATAGAAGTGTGGGTTTTGTAGAGAACTAAGAAATAAAACCATTTGGAAATCTCCTTTTTTAATAAATTAGCATATTTGAGGATAATAACTTAGCATTTACAATATTGTGACATAAGGATAGTACATAATATACATTAATTCAGGATGAATGAAATTTCAAACTAAATGGTATTTTTTATATAGACTATATTGTGAAGTTGTGTCACAAATTCAAGTAAACAAAACTCAGAGTCCACATTCATTCATTCAGAAATGTTAGATAACATGTTAACCTAGAATAAACCCATCAGTTTCTCTTAAGTGTAAAAACCTGAAGACAGGAGGTGTCAATTCTTAAGTAGTCAAAAATATTTGTGTTTCATGTCAAGAACATCCTTGCACTTTTTTATTATGAAAATATTATTCAAACTCTTTAGCTAATCTTTTTTTTTTTAAGATTTATTTATTTATTTATTTATTTATATAAGCACTGGGTAGAGTCAGAAGCACGGGAGGGTGAGAGAACTCAGCAGAGCCAGAGCAGGGAGCAGAGCAGGCAGAAGGACCGAAGTACACTGCTGAGGGGAGCAGCGGGCGGCAGGAGAGGTCTGTGTGCCATGTGGGACCCTCCTCCGGTGGCCAGGGAGCAGCTGGGGATCGAACCAGCGCTGCAGAGGCTGTGGGCAGCTTCGCAACCCAGTGCTCAACCGCTGCGCCACCAGGGAGGCCCTCTTTAGCTAATCTTAATCTTGCATGAAACTGATGGAGGATAAGAATAGAAAAACTGGAAAGGAGGCACCACGAGACCAGAGACCTGGCTCACATTTGCAAACAGCTGGATGTGAGGGTAGAAGGGATTAACATAGCCATTAACACAGCTGTGGAAACTAAGATCCTTAGGCGCCAATGCCTAGACCACAAAGCACAAGACCCAAGCAGGTATCAGACTGCTACAGAGCATATCAGCAGCACAGACCTGAAGGTGAAGATTTGAGATCTAGGGCCTTTGTAGAAATCTGGCCCCTTTAAAATTCTATATAGTTTATTCAAAACAAACCACTCCATAAAGAAAAGAGCCCATGCCAAAGAAACGAAGTCTACATCAGTACACTCTACATTGATGGGGACAGCAGTCAATCTGTTACAGGACAGGGAGAGGGGTGTCCCAGACCCCACAAACCTGCCTGCTCTGATGGGTTCTGCCATCCGCCTCATCAGTACAAAACATGAGACTTTAATTTAAGGAATTTTAATACAATTAGGAAACAATACAGGAAAGGCAAAGAATCTAGTTTCTAAATCAGGCACCCAAAGTTACCCATCCCCTCGTGGGTAAAAGTCCACCCAAACGGGACTGGCCCAGAGCAAGGCCCCAAAGCCTGCCACAAGTCCAAAGCACTTTCCAGTAGGGACCCACAGAAAAGGATCAGAAACAACCAGACAAGTCTCGGAGGAAAAAAACAAAATCAAAAGTAAAACAAAAACCGCCATTGTCACCTCCCCACGAGTCTCTCACCCACATCTGTGACTCCCAGTCCACGACCAAAAGGCAAGCGCAGTTTCTTCACATGTCTCTAGGCCCCATGTGCCTCCTCCAGGTCTCCTTCTGGCTCCACTCTGGATCCTTCCTTCCTCAGTATCCTCTGCAGATTCTTCTCTCCCTGCTCAGCAACACCCTCCTTTTGGGTGGGGCAGGGAACCTGGAACCTCCCCCTTTCCTGGGGACCACCAAGCTACAATCCCCCCTTTTAATTTTTATTCCACCATATCTATGGTGACACAGATCTCAGGGTGTACTCTTAGGAGACAGTCTTTTTTCAGGGTTACAATGTGTGTAAGAGAAGCAACAATTAGTCAGCAGCATTGTCCATGAATGTCCAATATGACAGTTCTCCATTACTGGAAAATAGTCCACTATTCAAGCCAAAAGGGGAAAAAAAAAATCTGGAGCATTAGCTCAAACAAGCAAATATATCCAAATCATAGGAAAAAATATCTTAAAATTGGTTGAACTTATGTAAAAAAAAACAAGTTCTCTCAACCTTGATCCCAAATTGTTTCAACAGCATAGCAAAAGTTAGCAAACTAAATCTACTTTTAAAACATATTACATATTTTTGCATACAATCACAGGCCAGAATAGCCAAACAGCAATTGTAGCTGGCTCTGTTAGAACACTCCATATAGGACCAGAGCGAACTCTTGACATCCGGTCCACGTGGGCTTCCTGTTCTCCAGGGTACCAGGGCTTTTGTTTTTTCCGGGTCATCCAGTCCTGCCCAGGGAGGCAGCTTCCTCACCTCCCTTGGCGGTCTCTGGAGCCCCAAGGGTCAAGGCTGCAGTTTTTCCTCTTCTTAGTCCAGCTGTTTCAGCTTCTTGGAAGAACACCTCTCAGAGCCACACAATGACACTCATCTCCAATTGTTTATGTTTTAAGTGACAAAATCCCTATGGAAGTTATGCAAAAATAGACACTGACGTGAGTAGTAAAAATTACTACCACTGTTTTCATGCTGCATTGGTATCAAGGGGAAAGAAAACGCAAACACAAATTAGCTCTGCTGAAAAAAGAAAAAAAATAATGTAACATTGCTGCAGGTCCTGGTCAGTCAAAGAAAACTTTGTTGAATCAAAGCAAAATGCAACAAAATTTCCAGTAATATGTCAAAACTTAGTAAAAAGCAGATGTATCTCCAATAGTCTATTCAATTCTTTGTAGTAAAAAAAATTTTAACCCATCAAAAGTTCCATAAATAGGAATCAGATGAGGCCTTTCCCCCTTTTTTTCAGAAACAATTTCTGCAGATATCAAACAATTGAAGTCTACAATATTACAAGGCGACAATCACCATTGACAATTTACACACATATCAGGTCCAGGAGTTCCCCATTTTCCCAAGTGACAAGTCTTCCCTTCTAGTTTTATTTTACTAGGTAAACCAAATAGGACAAAGTCATCTAATGCCTTTCCCAGGAGGAAAGGGAGAAACTGTGGAGTGTCTCAGGAGCTCTACTGAGGTTCCACAAAATTTTCTTAGGTCAACCAAATGACAGGCTACCAAATTTTTCACTTGAATTTACATTTCTGGGGAGCTTTGCCATAAACATCAGAAAACAACAGCAACAATATTCAATCTCTATGAAGGCACTGGTTTAGTTCAGTAGTACAATGTTGATAATCAAACCATAACCTTTAGTTTTTTTCTCATAACTGTAGACTTTTTTTTTTCAATGTGTATAGATGCCATGTATACCAATTTTTCAACCTTTTGAGGCCAGGACAGACAGAAGGACTTACAGACATGCAACATATAGACAAAGACTGTTTTTTTTTAGTTACACCACGTGGAATATGTTATGTAACTGCATTTTTACTCCCATAGGCTCAGACAAAAATCTCAAACTCCAAAAAAAATATGGAGGGTTGCTGGCAGAAATCACAAGTTACAGTTGTCATCCTACAAACCTAACAATTTGGAAATAGAAAGAAAAAGTTTTATTAATCGCAAGAGTTAAATGACCTTGTTTATCACTTTTTATTAGAAGACTTTTTATTAGAAGCCAATCCTGGGGTATCCTGTACAGCAGCTGAAAGAGCAAAATCAACAGCTAACTTTTAAGCAAAAGGAGTCATCTCTTGTTTGCCACCAAGCAGGCAATACTTGGGTTTCCTGGAACAGAACCTGAAAAAGCAAAATGTGAGACAGTGTGGCTAACAGAGGTAAGGAGAGGACTCCTTTTAATTGAAAGTTAATTGCTGATATTTTTATTTTGCTTCTTCAGGTTCTGTTCCAGGAAACCCAAGTATTGCCTGTTTGGTGGCAAAAAAGAGATGACTCCTTTTGCTTAAAAGTTAGCTGCTGATTTTGCTTTCAGCTGCTGTACAGGATACCCCAGGATTGGCTTCTAATAAAAAGAACACTGAAAGAGCAGATTCAACATCAAAGCACAGATTACACCTCCCCCACACGAGGGAGGGACAACAACAACACAGGTGTGAAAACCTGATAGTGTTATATGATGCACCTTAAAGAGTGCTTAAGCAGAAATTTAGAATCTTGTCTTACACCAGCAATTAAATCCAGAATTCAAATGGTAAACATGCCCAAAACAAATTGTGTGGACAAAATTCACAGCAGCAAATCCTTTCAGACTCAGACAAAATATTTTTAATTTTTCTGATCTAGACTTAGCAAAAATTCAAGTTATCTCCAAGAATCCATCAAGACTAGCAGCAATTACCAGTTACTGCTTAAGGCTACTCTCTGTTGTTAACACCCTGGCACACATTTGCTAATTTAAACACCACAGCTCCACAGTTGGCTTGCAAAACCCCTCAAGCAGAGGTCAGGAAATAGAAGTTAAAGCAACATACCACAGAAGAATCATTACTGCCTTTAGAAATGCTAATGAGACAGTAGAGATCACAAAAAAAAAAAAAAAAAAAAAAAAAGGTCCAAAGTCTTAGCAACAAGAACCTCTTGAGTTTTACAAGAGCCCACCAAGTGGCCTCAGACATCATCTTTGATCTGGCCACATGGTCCAACCTATTTCCTAATCTTTTGAGTAAAACCATTACACAGAACAATTTCCACAAAATCAAATCTCTTAGCAATTCACTACAAACAAATTACATACAGATGCACAGAATCTTCACAAAGTCCAAGGCAGTTTTCAACAGCAAATCTACATGTGAAACACACTACAAAATCCAAAAATCACATTTGCGCTTATAGTAGCCGGTGCCATAGAATTTCCCTATGGGGCTGAGTAACCACGGTTGGCTCTGTCCTAAATCACGTCAGGTGCCAAATCTGTTACAGGACAGGGAGAGGGGCTGCAGACCCCACAAACCTGCCTGCTCTAAATAGGTTCTACCATCCGCCCCATCAACATAAAACATGAGACTTTAATGGGAAGGAACTTTAATACAATTAGGAAACAATACGGGAAAGGCAAAGAATCTAGTTTCTAAATCAGGCACCCAAAGTTACCCGTCTCCTCCTGGGTAAAAGTCCACCCAAACGGGACTGGCCCAGAGCAAGGCCCCAAAGCCTGCCACAAGTCCAAAGCACTTTCCAGTAGGGACCCACAGAAAAGGATCAGAAACAACCAGACAAGTCTCAGAGGAAAAGAACAAAATCAAAATCAAGACAAAAACCGCCACTGTCACCTCCCCATGAGTCTTACCCACATCTGTGACTCCCAGTCCACGACCAAAAGGCAAGCATAGTTTCTTCACGTGTCTCTCCGCTCCATGTGTCTCCTCCAGGTCTCCTTCTGGCTCTCCACTCTGGATCCTTCCTTCTTCAGTCTCCTCTGCAGCTTCTTCTCCTCCCTGCTCAGCTCCACCCTCCTTTTGGGTGGGGCAGGGAACCTGGAACCTCCCCCTTTCCTGGGGACCACCCTGCTACACTTCTGCCCACTTTATACCTATGCAGATGCTTCTTTTCACCAACTCTCTCCCTCTGCAGGGCAGCAGCCATGAAAGCAGCCTTTCTGCCTGCCGTGATGTGTACCATGCCTGGGCTTCTCTCCCCTGACCTCCAACAGCAGAGGCAGCGCTCCTCGAGGCCGTCCTCCTGTGACCATGCAGGCCTCTCTCTTAGCAAACCTGTACCTTTTGGGGCAGCCCTCTCTGCCTATTTGTGTCTATGCAAGTGTCCTTTACTCTTCTCTCCCTTTTATGATAAACCTGCCCTTCTGGATATAACTAACATCTCTGTGTCATGGAGAAACTCGCCTGGTAACTCTCTGGTGCCGGTGAAAGGGGAGCTCTGGTGAAACCTTTCCCAGAGTGAAACCCAGGACCTCACTCTCCAAATCCAGCAACTCTAAAAAGGACGTCAAAACTTCAATTCCTGGGCCTCCCTGAAAGTGCGAGGGGTTTAGCACTGCACTATAAGCAATCCAAAGCCTCTGCAGCATGAGTTAGATCCCCAGGCGGCCAGGGAGCAACACACATGGTGCAGCAGACCTCTCCTGACTCGCCCGCTGCTCCCCTCAGCAGTGTATTTCTGTCAATCTGCCTGTTCTGTTCCCCACTCTGTCTCTGGTGGATCCTCTCACCCCCCCACACCCCCACCCCCACACCCCTGCATCTCTGGGCTGTGTCTAGCTCTTGTATGTATAAATAAATCTTTTTAAAAAAATTTTAAAAAATCTTCAATTCCTATTTATGAAAAAATCTTGCCCCAAGTCAGAATGCATTAAATCACCCAATCTAAATTTTTAATGTAAAGCATAATTTAGGTTGGAAAATCTCATAACCTTGTGATAAGAATATTTATTTATTTTTTTATTGAGGTAATACCGGTTTACAACACTGTCTATACTCAGAGGTATACCCACCACCAAGGCACCCATAGGCCTCCACCATAGTACACTGGGCCCCTTCCCATCTTTACTCTCCTCCTTGTTCCTCCCCTTTCAGGTAGTCTCAATTTAACAGGATTTCCAGGTTTGATTTTGTCTGACCCCTTGTTTTGTTACACTATGTTCCACAGATGAGTGAAACCATTTAGCATTTGTCTTTGTACTCCTGATTTATTTCCTTACCATAATTTTCTTCAGATCCATCCATGTCATTGCAGATAGCAAGAGTAATCAGAAGAGAACATGAGTATTGCTTTTGCATTTGGGTTTGATACTGAATTTTGCAATCACCTACTGTGATCATTTACTACTTTCAAATAACCAAATTTCTTGATGATGGAGCCTTGAGTGACTATATTTTCTATTCAGCAGTTTAGTCACCAATAAGCTATTGAGAGGGAACATTAGCTAATTTTAGAATTTGAGCTACTGGTTTTGGAAAGAGTTGCAACACTTCATTTTTTTCCCTCACTTATGAGCTCACATGAAAAATCTTAATTTGTAAATGTCAGCTGAAAGACTAAGATAAATC